ATACTGGTATACCGGTAGCTCATGTTGTTGCCCTTATCTGCTCTCAACAGCTGCAGTACATTTGTTTCATATACATACAGGTGAGTGAACTGAAGAGCAGAGGTGGGAATCTTTGGCAAACTCATGGTTCACTTTGATTTTTGGTGTCGGAATCAATTTTTGATTTGAAGCAATTCGATTTATTTTGGCTCTTTCTTCATTGCACTGTGTGTCAAACAATTGATTCCCATCCATTGCCCACTGAGCTGCAAATGAGGTTAAACAGACAGTTAAGCTAACTGGTCCTGATGAGCACCAGAACCAGGTACTTCACATATTTCTCCCCAGCAGCGCATTAAAGTACTTGAAATTACAAGTATATAAGGTTATTAAAATTAGCTCCACATTTACCAGCTGCCACGTCGAATGTGATGAACACAGTAATGCATCAATAATTATGATCCAATAATATAAATATGCCAGTCTGCATAATGAGCATGTTCTACATTTGGTACTTTAAGCAGGTTATATTTTGGTGATACTTTTACAGCAAGTAGCATCATTCAAGATGCAGGACTTTGACTATTTTTGCACTTGGTAACTGCTACTTGTACTTCAGTAAACAATGACAATCCTTCTACCACTGTCTTTTGGTACCTCGCATATATGTATGTTACAAAGCAGAGCACTCAGTTGTGTTGTTGTTTGTGTTACATCTGCAGCATTTTACTACCAAAGAAAGCCAGCGTTATCCAAAATAGGCACAGGCCTGTAGAAACGAGCTCTTTTCTTTGCCCTACCACTTTGACTTAAGTGCTATAGTGTGTGTTGCTGAGCTGCTCTTGTTGATAAGTTGGTATCTCTGCTATGCCAACATCAGTCTGTTGGTGATTGGCTACAAACTATTCACACAGTCCTCTGCACTTGTTTTTCAGAGCTCTTTATCAGCTCATTAACATGCATTCAATGGATTTCCTTTTCTGAAGATAAACTATTGATACAGCACAAGCCAGCTCTTGTATGTTCACACTGACCTTGCAGTTGAATTTTGCCTTTCTTGCAAAATTTTAAAAAATGTTTGGGTTTTTTTTGCGCTTCAGAATCGTAGAAGATATGAATCATGAATCGTGGTTGTTATGTGAATTTTTTTTTTCTCCCACCCCCACTGAACAGCAAATAAGCGATTTTTTTTTTTTTTTTTTTTTTTTTTTTTTTTTTTTTTTTTTTTTTTTTTTTTTTTTTTTGCAGAAACCATACCAAACCCCAAATAAGCAAAATATTTGTATAGTGTATATATAAAAAAAGAAGCTTCACAGTTTCCTAAAGCCCGAATCTTTTTATTTCCTTTTTTTTCTGACCTAACAATTGAGGGGTAGGAAGTAGGGGAATGTTTTGCATGAATTTTTAAATGATTATCAAATACTTGCTGGTTCATTTTGTGTTGATTGACTAATTATTTAACTAACTGCCACAGCTCAACTTTCTGTAATAATGTTTATTAAAAAGAACAAATGCAATGGGGGTGCATTCTTAGTGCCCACTGTATGGCTTTGTCTGACTCTGAACCTTCCGTATTTACCTGCTGATTTACTTTCAGCTGGCCTGACACTGCTGTACTTTCAAGCTGTGATGTTTGTGTAATGGCCCACAACCTGTTGACGCTTTTATAACCCATAGATTTTGGAAGCCAGTAGTCACCATATGCATCATTGCTTCGCACTATGCTGAGCATGATTTATTGGCTCCTGCAAAGGAAGTCAATGGCTAAATTAGTACTCTGGCTGGAGGCGAATTACATTTATGAGGTGGAGTTCTAGAGAGCTGCTGGACAGAAGTGGATATATCCTTAGAGTAATTGTGAAAGTGGGGTGTCCTTAAGTAATAACTCTGGTTCACTGCATTTAAATGATTCAGTTTATAGGTAGGAATTGATTATCAAACGACAGGCAGCGCTGGGGCCTAATATTTCTCAGTGTCTGTCACTAAATTAAAAGGGAGCATGCTGGGCTACACCATGCCAATAATTGATCCAGTCCACACTGCCTCTGATGTGTAAACACAGATATTTTTGCTTTGGCGGTTGTGTTTCATATTAGCACAATCTAGCATCTGATTAACTCCTTGATTCAACAGGACCTTTGATTCCTTATCTAATTACAGGCTTAATATTTACCACACAAAGGACAGTCAGCTCATCAAGAGTCAGGCCTGCAATCAACAGTAGCTTTCTAATTAGTAATTTAATTCCTACTCCAGGTTTTGATTAAATGTGGTCAGAGGACCTTCAGCATTCAACTTGTTAAATAACTTGTTTGTGTGCATTTTCCATTAGTAGTACACAGCTGATACAAAAACTTGCAACAAATCCACAAAGCCTTAAGATGCTCTTGAAGTTGAACCATGACAAAAATTAGAAAAACATTAGAAATGCCCGATTAAATAAAGGCTTTTAAACATATTCCTTGCTCCACCTAAGAGTGCCTGAATTATTTTTTCTAATTTTTGGCAGTCACCACCATGTTTGTACTCATCATTAAGTAACTGGAAAATACATCGTTGTTGGCGAGAACTGAGCTTTAGGGTCAGTGAGGTAACACGAGCTGCTTCATTTAGTTTTCCCACTCCACATGTATCCTAATGCAAGCTTGTAGTCATATCTCGCACTAAGATGTCTGAAGGAGGTCCAGTGGAGAATTTGCTGCCAGACATAGTGATTAATTATGTAACAAACGCACAAAAAATGTTTCTAAATTTGGATTACTGTGAAATAAGACTGCCTTGTCATCAGCCCGAGTATGTATACTCCAAAAGAGAGCTGTGTTTCAGTTATGAAACATCAGGGTTTGCAACACCATCATAGTGGGTGGTAGGCCAGTTATTTTTGTCAGCTGTAGAGGACAATATTATGTATCAATAGGTGTAAGTGTATGTCTCACATTAGTCATATATATCAAATGGATTAAGTAGCTATTTCTGTTGAGCTGTTGTTGTGGTGGTGGCTCCCTTAAGCTTAAAATTGGAATCAGAACCCGATAAAGAAAATTGGATAGGCTGCACACAAAGTAAATCACACTAAAAACTAGATGGCTCAACTCGGTTTCCCCATAATGCCATTACACCTAAAAGCAATAGTCCCATGACAGTTGGACCCTCATAATATGATTGCTTGACCATGAAAACCTCCCCCTGGCATTTGTAATGATGCTGATATCATTATTAGTTATTATTGAAAGTTATTTGAGAAAAATTATAGACACAAGTGATTACTAAAGGCCACACACAGCCAAATAAATGTCCCATACAGACTGACATAGCAGCATGTACCTACTTACTTACTTACTTACTGTGCTGAAACACATGTTGAAACATCTAATTTTTAGCATTTATAGATTCAGTAATGTGCCTAAAGACTCTGTCAGTGAGTGTTAACTTGTAATTTCCATTTATTTACATAATCAGCATAAATGTATAATTTTCAATAGAATATTAAAAGTCAGTGTGTGCAAATACTCAGACATATATTATTTATAATTGTATTATTCATAATGTAATTGTTACTGCTATTTTGACTGATGTACCTGTAGTCCTTTGCAGAGCTCTGTTAGTTGAAAAGTGCTGAGTGCCGGTAAAAGCTGCTACTAATTGGCATTCAGTGATACTACAACCGGCCTTTGTCAAGTGACTTATCACTTCAAATGAAGTGTTTTCCATTTCTAATATTTTATTTTGTCTCACCTGTGTACATTACACAGATCCTTACAGTATCCGCGCTTATCTATGTATATACTATGCTTATCACAGCTTGAATTATTTATTTGCTGCAAGTATGTCCTACATTCTCCTAAGACTTGGATAAATCTTTTTCAAGATGAGTCTGAGGAATTCAAAAGATGTGCTCACTGCTCTTTGGCGTGCATTTACAAATATGAAATGCAAAAATACCACTACCACCAGTATGTAAAAGGTTGTGCCAATGCACGCTGATCATTGATTATTCTGTTATGATCAGCTATGACATTTACCTGAGCAAAGACAAAATGCACCTCTTATATTCATGGGTAAAGTTGTTTCTTTGATTGTTTCCATGGTGCCCTGGTTTAGAAATGTACTCATTGTGACAATATAGTTATGTTTAAAACTGCAGCTGAGTAATTGGCCAGAATGTTTTAATCCTCTTGGTATCCACTGTGGCTGAATAGCAGCTGGGTTTCTCTTATTCTTTCTCTCTTGGTGAGAAAGAAGGCAGCACTCTTCCATCTTTATCAATCTTGTAAGGATTTCCCACAGAACTTTAATGTCTAAAGAAGCATTTCTTCAGCAACGCTCGGGTGCGGTCAAGCCTAAGAGATGAATATTGAATAATGAAATGTCTGAGTTAGATGCTGGGAGTCTTCTGAAGCCAGAATGTGGGCCGATGACTGCCATGCAGTGCAGTAATGCTGCAAAGGTTACTGCTATATAAAACACACAAGTTTTAAAGGGCTTTAGAGACCAGAGTTTATTATTCTACAGTCTAGACCAATGGCTTTATATGGCCTACAGTTGCAAGTGTTGATAATTTTCTCCAATACCCTGTATTTTTTTTATGAACTCGTTGTTTTGTTGATTAGTAATCTAAAAATGTTATAGTATAGAACTATTTAATCTCAGTTCAGTTTTATGTTAAAGAAACTGATGCAAACAGTTTTCACATTTGTGAGGACTAAAAAATGTTTGGGGTGTTTTTTTTTTTTTTTTTTACGCACTTAGTCATTTACCGATATTTGTCATTATCTGGTCAGGTGACTAATGGCTCAATGAACCATTTGTTTCAGCACTGCATCATAGTGGTCAAAGTCTCTCTCCATGTCCTCTCGTCCTGCAGCTATCGCACAACAGAGCACAGTGGCCATTGCATATTTTACAACCATGAATCATGTTTTGAAAATGTGTATGCAAAACAACCCTAGGAAGTGATTTTTGTCAACATTCATTTTTCTGTATTAACACAGCCTCTGTCTGGTTTCTCTTCATTCATGCAGCTTCATTCAAACTCAGATAAAGGTGATGGATCTGTCAGGTACATTCTGAGCGGGGAAGGAGCTGGGACTATATTTATCATCGACGAAGTGACAGGAGATATTCATGCAACTAAGAGCCTGGATCGAGAAAGAAAAACGCATTATGTTCTGCATGCACAAGCCTTGGACCGCAACACAGAGGAGGCCCTGGAACCAAAGTCAGAATTCATCATCAAAGTGCAAGACATCAATGACAATGCACCCAAATTTCCAGATGGTCCCTTTGTAGCTACGGTGCCTGAGATGTCTGAAGTGGGTGAGTAGTGCTCAACGATGGCTCTACTGTCGGTTAGTTGAAAGATTAAAAAGTGTGTAAACTTCAGTGTTATTTTGTTGCTTTGTAGATGTTCTTCATGGGATAATCCCCTTTATCTAGCCTAAAACATTTCAACTTTACATCCTGTGTATATTTAAAAAGACTCCTGACCACGTGCTGCTCTAAGATGGTTTAAAAGACGGAATTAGTATGAAGAACTGTGATCAAATATCTTAGTGCCCTGTGCAGCATTCTGGGCCTGTGATAATGTTCTCCAGAATGTTTGATCCTCTGTAAGCCAGCCGAGTGCTCTTTTTTCATCTTTGTTTTCTGGTTGCTGTGAAGGTTTCCCGGGTGGGCAGGTCTTTATAAAGCACTCAATAGTGCCTCCACAGCAATCCCTGCCAGGGAGACTGGGGAGTCATCCACATCATGGTGAAAAGAAAAGCCTCTGTCCATCTCCTCTGAGACAGCTGCTTTTCACATGCCCAGCATCATGTAACAGGCATCTTTTTTTCTACTGTTCTATTTTTAGCTTGAGTGAACAACAGCCACACTTTTCTCAGTCCAGTGGATTCTGCCCCACAGCACATAGCTCAAAAGTATGATGCCCAAATATTTCACAGCATCCCCTTAAAACATATGCTGGTTGTCCAAATGGTACCAAGTTTGCTTCAGAGATACTGTAAGACAGGATTTGTAGCACTTAAGTACATCTCTATACTTTCAGAGAGTACTGTACTATACAGTACAGTATTGTGGCGCTCCACTGGTTCGGATGAGCGGAGCCGGTCTGACCCTATCCTATACTGGGACATCTAACTATCCAGCTGTGCGCTGGCACCTAGGCTGACAATGAGGAGAACACCTTCTCTGTCTTTTCTTGGATTTATTGAACAAAATAGAGAATGCAAAATGAAACTGCTATATATCTGGCACCGTGTGCTCACAGGAAAAATGAAAAGCAAAAAGGAAAGCAGTAGTAACACTTTCTCTGGACATCCCATGTTCCGTGCCAACTGGACTCACATGCCCACCTGTTACCCTTCTTATACCCTCACACACCTGTCCCTCCCCAAACCCCACATTGGACAGAACAACACAACATTCCCCAGAAAATAGCGGCAACCAATACAAACACACTGATTTTGACAGTAAGGCCGCACCCACTCAACACAGAACAGAGCATGAACACCAGCAGCTGGTCAGGGCCACCACAGTATGTTCTGGTACTTGGTGAAATGTTTATTGTCACATGCTGAATATTACATTTGTAAGTTTAGGGTTAGTTAAATGCAGATAAAAGTGTTGTTACTGTAAGACAAAAATGCAAATGTTAAATTTCAGTGGTGGAAGAAGTACTCAGATTCTATACTCAAGTAAAAGTAGCAATACTGCAATGTAAAAATGTTATGTTACAAGTGAAGGTCTTGCATTTAAAATGTTACTCAAAAGCATAAGGCCAGTCATTTTCTCCTTACAGAGACTAAAACCGACAGTGCTTTGCCTCGGCTCATGGTTAATCAGATTTCAGTCCTGTACCTGAGTAAATGTATGCATTTACTTTCCACTATTATCAAATTTTACATAAAAACAATTTCACTGTTGGATCAGTCAAGCGCTGTATACGTCACTACATAAATAAGTGCATGATGTGGTGATGAAAATATACCTGTGGCACTAGTCTACATATTGGCATCATTTAGTTCTAATGAGACTATTTCAAAGTTACAATGTTTGATGCAAACTTCATCATCGGATGCACAAAAAGAATCAATAACCATTGATTTGATTTGATTTATTTATTCTTTCAAGCATGTAAAGACAGTTGATATATCAACACACATAATTTTATACATATCCAACAAATGACCCAAGGGAGGAAATTAGGAACTGTGAGGGGGAAAATAATTAGCCTTTTTCCCTGCCCCCTCCTTTATTCACGTCCATTAAAGTAATTAATTTTAGGTTCGGCATCTTCAGCGCCAAATCAGCTGTAACAATCAACTGTCCTCACACTCCAGAGCACTAATCCCCTAGCGTTTGTCAATACTGGTGCTCCCAAGTGTCAGAAAGGGATGTCTGGGAGTGCGGCAGCTAATTGGTTGTGATGTTCATTTCCTCTGTCTAAATTGATTATTTGGGAATGTGCCAAGTTTTACAGCGGCTACCGGTTCCCATTCAACGTTACTGTCATGTTTTTTTTTTTTTTTTTTTTTGTTTTTGTTTTAAGTGCTAGATGAAAGGAGTATCAGTTTCCTACTACTGGATCTCTCCCATTTGAGATGTTCTTAATGGACGTGCTGGCGTTATTAGCTCTGCTTTCCTGTCAACCATTTCACTGCTGGGAAAATCACTGTTTAATGATGGCTTCCTCACCCTGAGGCAGAGGTGGTAGTTTGTTTAAATGAATGGTTATAATTAAACGAATGTTATTGGAACTGATTTATGTAAACGGTGCAAAATGGCACATGTATAATTGTGGAACCCTTAAAAATCCCAAATAGCATGGTGTTCCAAAGAGCTGAACACATTTGATTTTCCACTTTTACATGTTGTTTCCTGTAGATGCTGCTGCCCTTCATAAAACACAGATCAGTTTTGTTTCTCTCCCCATGAAATGTACTTATGGCGCATTTTGGTCTGCTTTCAAATTTCAAATCAGTTTCCATATCTGATGATAAGGGGTGATGAAAACAGATGTAAAAATGGAAGGTAGTATGTGAAAAGGTTATTAGTGGAAATAATGATCTTTATGTACACTACATTTTGAAAACCTTTGAAAAAGACCAAGTATCATGAGATAACTTTGCTGTGTTCATTCTCAGGCACATCTGTATTGCAAGTCACGGCGACTGACGCCGACGACCCCACCTACGGAAACAGTGCCAGGATAGTCTACAGTATTCTACAAGGACAGCCATATTTCTCTGTCGACCCCAAAACAGGTGTGGTATTACTGCACGCCTGTGATAAATGCTTAGACAAAGTGAGTGCCTGTGCTGTTGGTAACAATACATAAAAATGGGAGCAATACCTTTGCTATAATTTCTATAAAAGACAAGACTCTCGTGCTGTGAAATACGTGTACCATGTTCTTCCTCAGTGAACATCCTGTTCTGCTACTGCAGCATGTCTGACATCACGGAATCTGAAACTGCCACAGCAGAGTTGTGGACCACTCATACAGCTCCTATATTGTTAAGCATACAACAGACTCTTTTGTGAGTCTTAACTAACTCCTCAGGGGACCAAGAAAAGATGACTTTAGAAAGCCACAGCTTCAAAATTCACTTTTTGTCTGTTAGGTCTCTACTAGATCTATTAAATGTTAAAAGTCCTTCTGAAGTGCAAGACATGTATCTTGTATATGATGTAAACAATTTGCTGTTGTGAATGTGTGCACTTTTGTTTACTGCCGATAGCCCTATGTCTTATAAAAGAGTGTGTACATGCACACATGTACAGTGTCTGCAGTTTTGCATGCTTGCCTCTGCTGTTGTTGCCGGTTAACATGAAGAGCATTCCTCTGTGTGAACTGCTTCAGCGCTGGCCCCTTTGAGGCTATACGACCCATGTAAAACTAAGTCTTTCCTGAATGAGCAACACAGATGAATTGCTGAATATTTTGGCTTTACCTTGAGGGAAAAGGCAGTAAAGATTGATGGAGTAATTTCACAGTGGTGTGGTGAGGCAGGAGCAGTGTCAATATCTGAATTCAAACGTGAATTCCTTATGCATTAACACATTTTGTTCTATCAACTAGATGTCAGTGTAGTTGAAATCTATTTTTAGTCATGTCAGAATTGCTCTGGAATGATGTCTTTCTATGCAGTGTGGTTTGGGACATATCACATGGCTTGCTTTGCATGAGCTGACTCGGCATCTTATCTGCATTGTAATTCAGTGTGGAGGATGCAGAGGAGTACAGACATGATCAAAGGCCTACCCAGCTGCACTTCCTGCAAAGCACCCTTCCGCCCGTACATAATTTATACAAGTCAGCTGTTGTTTTCACCACTGGCAAACCACCCTCTTCTATCAAATGAGGACAAGGAACTCCAGTGGTCAGGGGACACTATGCTCATATAGAGGGGGAGGTGTACTTGCATGTGATCTCTAATGTGTTAAGCCCAAGTCTTAAAGCAGTTGTGTTGGCACATCTGAGCACCACACTGGGGAGCTGAAGCTGCTTGTGCATCTGTCTCTCAGTACATTAGCTTACTTGCACCTCCTCATACCCACACATACTGTACCTGCCTCCCACCATGCTAAAAATGCAGAGACGCTGTCATGGGGAAGTTTTTATATTATGAGCAGGAATAAAGGAAAATCCACATGCAGGCACCCACCCACACACACAGACAAATCTATAGCTTTCCATTTGACCTTGGTGTGGTGGCCTGATACAGCAGTGACAGATTGTGAAGTACCTGTGAAGTAAAAGGAAAGATAGCACGGCATTTGGCCTGAGCATATGACACTGGAGGAATCCTTTGAGAATCAACTCAAGCTTGACCCAAATCCCCAGCAAGCAACAAAGTGAACAGTTTTACTTGTTACTCCTTCCTAGGTTAATCATTTTGACATCATCTAAAACCTCCCAGCGACTGAAGTGACAGATCTGCTTGACTGTTTGAAAATTGTATTAAACAGAAAATTGACCACAATTACAGTATACGGCACTTTTCAACCTTAGAATCTGACAGAGTGCTGACATAACAGGCACCCTTGGCAAAATGATTATGAAAACTTGCCTCACCAAATATTTAAGAATTGGGTTGTACTATATTGTAAAAGTATTTTTGATGTCTTTCAGCTGTTAAAATTAAAATGCTGTATTTTAATTTTCCTAATCAACTAAAGCAACTTTGGATATTGCTACAGTATGTTATGACTTTATGGCTTTCAGTAATACAAAATACTGCACAGCTGCATAGTTAAATTTGGGTTTATTGTGATCTGAGATATGATTAACTAACTGTTTCAGATGTATTGCCCCGAGCAGGCGGAGAGCAAACGTATGTTATTTGATTCTATACACTGTGCAGTATAATCTGGAATCTAAATGAGTTTTAAGAAAGGTGCTTGTAAATAAAAACCAGAGCCAAGTTCCAGTGGATATTCTGCATTTCAGAGTCAGATAGCTATGACAGACATGTTCTGTAATAGCTCAATACAAGATGACACAGAGTTCATACTTCTTAACTTCCTAAATAACTCAGAGAATGACATTAAAGCAGATCTTTGTCTCCAAAGGAAATGAGATTCAATCATGGATGTAACATTGTAATTGATGCATCTGATGGTGTTATGCAGCGTAAAAGGAGGGATAGGATGAGATGCACTTCTTCAAAGAAATAAATGATCATGACACACACTTTTTAAAGACAGAAATATAACAGATACAACTGATAGCGATGGAAAGCCTGAAGGGGACTGTGGGCAGAAGAAAACAAATGTGGCAGCTTTTGTAATATTTTGACTTGCCAAAATGCGTTACAAGTCTTTTTCATGAGTAATCTCTCTGAAGTGTGTATAAAATGTTTGTTGAGTTTTTTGTAACACATATTTCACTGAAAGCTAATAAGGTTGAGAGATGCACGATAATTCCCGTGATCCATTGTTTCAGTACAGATTACATTAGGGTTTCAGAGATGTACATGTTTTTCACTGTCTTTGATATTTATGATCATACATCTGAATAGTGAGTCCTTCAGAGTCGAAGGACCACAGCTTTAATGGTGAGTGAGGCAGCCTATTTGTCTTGTTGATTTTATTTGTGTAAAAGTTATCAGCTCATGAAAAATGTAAGTAAAGAGTAGATGTTGAAATTTAGGTGTGAGTGAAGGCAAACATTGTCAGATTAAAATGAAGGAACTGTGTATTATGCCTTAATGATATGAAAGAGAAGATTTAAAGAAATAAATACTACATTAAACGTGCTGCACAAAATAGTAGCAAGTTAAAGCCAAATCAAACTTAGATGCTGTCTCTAGTGCTGTCTAATTTAGATGCGTGTCTAGATTGTCCACGCTGCATTTATTATTGTATACAATGCTGTGTATTGTATGCAGTTTGTCAATTACCTGCAGAGACAGTTGTCTCCTAGTCAGTGCCCTCTGTCCAAACACCACTAACATCTATACTCGCTCACATGCACATGCAGAAACACATCGCCCTGCAGAACCCTGAAGTCCCCTTTGCATCCTAAATAGGCTAATTTCTCTGCTGATGTGGGATTTGGGAGTGTTTGAGTTCACTGAAGGAGTTGACACAGATCAGGATGCTTTTGCAGTTTATGGATCATGCCTCTAGTTGGCTCAGAAATCTGCCACTGCTGTAATCTTGAGCAGTCGGACTAATTATTCTAAATCATATATATAAATACAATCTTTGCTAAGTAAAAAAGACATGCACAGTACTATTATCATTTATAACATCTTTTCATGTTTTCTTTAATTTCTTCAGAAATACTGTAAGAGTGAAGACAGACATGGATAATATTATATTGTATGGACCAAAAAGCAGGATTCCTGAAGGTGGTGACTGAAGAGTGCTTTAGTAATCTTCTATAATCCTTTTTGTTCACCCAGGAGATTGTCCTCCTTGAAAAGTTTCCAGCCAGACAAAGAGGTGGATAGTGTGATGGTATCAACTCTAATAGACTGGGGAGGTTGAGGAAAAGGCTAACCACCTCACTGCGTCAAATGGGCCCAGGTTCAAGGAAGTCGGCTCTTTCTCAATTATTTTCTAAATTAACCGATGAGCCCCATAGAGATTTGCCCAAGAATTACGTCTCAGCACTGGTCAGGAGAGGGAGTTCAGGGGTGTGATCTTTGTGTCAGAGTACTGAAATACCTTTCAGGTACTTGTACTTTCCGTATATCTCTGTGGCTTTTTCTGTGCATTTAAAGAATTTCATTTGAGTGAATGCAGCTCAGTGACTGTACATTTGTTATGCAGCTGCATTGCATCATGCGTTTCTGCACATTCCCAGGTGGCCACAAATCTCACTTCCTGTTGAGTGTTTTCTTCTTTTCTTAATGGTCAGAAGCATTAGGGATTCTCATTTGTTTGATGACAGTTGATTGACAGCACATTCTCTCTGCTGTAGAGGATCCTAAAGCCAAAACAGAAAGCCTCGTACTTTTAGTGTGTGCTTGCTTTTTCTGAACTCTCTGCTGTGAAATATTGCTCAGCAGCAAATCGCCCCCATGAGTTAAAGGATAATAAGAGACTTGAAAGGTCAGATCATCTGTCTTGGTGTTGTTTTAATGGAAAATGGATAGTATGGGCACTTGCCATGGTCTGTGTGTCTCGAGGACCCACATTAAGTAATTCTAAGGCTCCAGTTAATAATCGGTGACTTCCAATAGAATTTGCAGAGGCTGCATTATTATGGGAAAGTAGCTGGAAGCACTTTGATTAGATTTGAAATCATGAAAAGATCTATGCTGAAACCTGGGATATGAGAAGTGAAATTTAGAAACATTATGTTCTGATTCTTGTAAATGTTTTAAGTATAGTATATTAATATAATATATTTTTACATTTCAAACTATAGAGAACTTGAAGTTGATGTCAAGCCATATTGAATTTTGGGTAAATGCGCCATGTTTGTAGCATCACGCTCATTATCCATCTTAGAGATATACATTACATCCATCCATTATCTATTCTGCTTATCCTGAAGAGAGTCACGGGGGAGCTGGAGCCAGTCCCAGGTGACATTGAGTGAGAGGCAGACCTGGACTTAGAGCCGCCAATCAACCTAAGTTGCATGTCTGTGAACTGTGGGAAGAAGTCAGGCACAGAGAGAACGTGCAAACTCCACACAGAAAGCCACCAGGTCGTCCGGGGCTCAAACCCACAACCTTCTTACTATGAGACAGCAGCACTAACCACTTGACGACCACCCTATCCCACTACATACATCTATAAGTTAATTTTTAAAAATACTATCTCCCAGAGTTACATGCAGTAACAGATGCTTCATCTACTTCCAAACATCCACTTTAGTGTCCAGTTTGAGCACAGACAGGACAGAAACTGATTCATCTGCATTTTATCTGCTGACAGCATTAGCTCCCGAACTGAGAGTCAGCTAAGGTTATCCGAATTAATACAGTCAGCAAAATTAGATCTAAACAATTTAAGCAACTTCTTAGCTAAACAAAGCAATAATGTGTGCAGATAAATACAGCACTTACCCGTCCTAACATTTAACAAGGTGTGACATACCCTCACATTCTCTATAAAGCATTCAGTTACTTGAGAACAGTGGCCAACTGATGATCCAAGTTGTGTTTGTATGTAAATTGCCCTTATTGTTTAATCTTTCCTACAATAAGAGTACAGATATTCCAGGTGTTCATACAGCAGACACGTACTGACATCGTGGCAGCTTTGAGATCACAGAGAATCCCATTTGTCCTGAGCCATTTGATGTTCATGTGCATTTAAATGGTAGTTCTGGTATTTCCAACAGGGATGTAAGGGCAGCATAATGTTAATCTGTCCCATCAACTTGGTCAGAGTTCAAAAAGAACAAAACCTGTCACTGCTTAGCATTTGAAAGGCAGAATGCACCGAAGTATAACTCACCACCAACACAGTTCAGTCGACTCCTGTTTGATTAGGGTGCCTATTCAACTAGAACTGAAGTTACAATATATAACCATCATTACTTTTGAATCGAGGCCTAATTCTAACATCAAATAATTAATCTAATGTGCAAAGGGTTCAGTGCAGACTCAGCTGTTACAAATTATTTTGGTACAGCGTCAGAGAGGAACCTACCTAGCATATATCTGATATCCCTCAGAATAAAGCCCTGCAACACATTCGTGTCTGTCTTGGTGCCCCACTTAGCAGTTGTTATTTTGCAAGCAGAACTAATACACAACAAAATGACACCATGGAAGTTGACACCATCAGAGCGGGTTTATGAGACTGAGACACTGCAATATGGCTGTAAATACCTCACAAAAAGTGTCTAAATCTAGTTTTGCTTTATTGCACAATATCTAACAAGCAGTGTTTCTGTGTAGCCTTGAAGTGGAGTTTGAGGACACACAGTGTAGTGTGACATTTTAAACTGAAAAGCTCTTTCTTAACCAGTCAACCAATTCTGTCCTTTTTATGGGAAAAAGTCTAGAACCACTAGAGAAATATGAACAGGATGAATCAATAGGTTGGAGTTTACCACTGTGGATGCAGCAGCAGTAGAAATTCTACTTACAGCTCATTCAGAGAAACTTCATCGCCTTGTCGCATTTATATTTTTAAAGGTTACAACATGGAGTTAACAAAATCATCTCACATTAGGTCAACTCTGGAATGTTTTTTTTAGCAGGCCCCTTGTATAAAACCTTCTGCTCATAAAGGTCTTTTTTTATTTCAGCTGCCTGTGAGAGCTTGATATTACTGTTCCATCCTGGTCTATCGTGCCAGTTTATAATGCACTTTGCCTTTCTGTTGATTGAATGCTGATGAGTCCAGGTTCCCTGAGAGTTAGTAGGACCTCGGCCACAGCTCAGTGTGACAGATTATGTGTAACCTTAGATCCCCTGGATTTTAATACTGTTGGCTGCCTTACTCCCTGTTAATGATTATTCTGCTTGAGGCAAGTGGATTAGTTTGGTCTATTGAGTCCTAAAGAAAGAAAGAGAGAGAGAAAAAGGAACTTTTGCAAAACACAACCATAGCTGCCTCTTTTGTAAAATTGAAAAAACTACAGTAATTCACAAATTCACTTCCTCTGACTCATTGATTAATGATATACTCCAGACACAAAGAAATGCGGATGCACACTGAGTATCTAAAACTTTTTCCAGAACAGTTTTTATGCAAAAATGCCTACACGGAGGCCATTTTTGTCAGCCTGGTGAAGACTATGCTGTCCTCCTGCTGACAGATAGTTCTGATGAGAGAGGCTGCATGGAGGTTGGAGTCAGCGTGGATTGAATGGATCAAACAGCTAAGTTGCACACATGTGCCGCTCGCGTCTAGTGAAGTCCCAGTTTGAAGTTAGTAGTGGCTGAAACTCACCATCAAGTCCTGCTTTAAGTATTAGGCTATTAGCTTTAGCTAAAAAATGAGCTGGCACTAGCAGGTGAGTGAGAGAACTGAACATCAAGTTGTGTGCATCGCCAAAGGGCCGACATCCTTCTTTAGAAGAAAAACAGGCTAAAACAATCACTTATACAAACAGCAAAGCATTTGTGCCACTCATTGATTTATTCTTCAGTTGAAATATGATCATCTAATTTTCATCATCTTCAGTGTCATCATTATCATCATGTTGACCACTACACTACAGAGCACTAAAGTGACTGCATACAGTAAAAAGAAATGGAAACTTGTTCCAGAAGTGATTTTCCCATTTATTGTCTCCCTCTCTCTGAATTTCATTATCAATACAGGTTATGCACATTGGATGGTAAGAGCATTTAAAATTACTTGTGAAAAATACAAATTCTTTTACATTGCACTGCAAAACAGGTGGTGCCACTAAATTTTGCACTGGTGCCACCATCTGAGAGGCCTGGTGGCACCAGTGCTGCCAGTATGAATTGTTAGTCTAGAGCCCCGATAATGATAGTGATTTTGTTTGCATCATTTTATTAATGCAAAACTTGATTGTGGCTTCAGTGTTGCCTTGATTTTTTTTTTTTTCTTTCTTTCTCTAAATCCACATCATCACACGTTGCTTGTTGTCATTTCCACACACAGGCAACAGCAGCAAAGTCCATTTCATGGTCTGATCAACGCCATGCCATTTCCTCCCAGGTCCCACTACTCCTGGTCAAATATTGTGTATTATTGCAGGGTTCACAAGTTCACAAGGACTTAAGTTCAATGATTGCCTGAGGGTCTTGGCTTTGGGGAAAAGCAACATTCACAATGAGCACTGATGTAACTGATGGAACATATTAAATCAGGCTTCATGTGGTGATGTTGTTTTTAGGATCTAAGTTGGCAAATTAACCCTCTAGCTCAGATGCACACACACACACACAGACACAAAACATGCATGAAAACACATTGCAGTGTGCAACACATGCACCTATTACATTCAGTAAATCACCTACCACCCAGCTAAACGGGACACAAATAGTGTAGTCATATTTCACAGAGTTAGCCTTATGAAAGTTCATGGCTGTGTTTGTTGTGTTATTGTAGTAATAAATGCGATTGAGTGGGTGCCTTAGAAAGTTGCATTCTGCCCTTATTCAAGGTTGCGTAGTCATTGTAAATATAATGAAAAGTCAGGAAAGCCTAACCTTGAGAGTAAGAGACCAGAACCTATTCATCTTTGAAAGAAGCACAACTTTGTGATGTTAAACTTTAAAGGAAATAGTGATGCAGTGTTGTATGAGTAGCCCATAACTGAAAGAAGTTTTGCTACACAAAATACCAGAACAATAACAGTAACATCTTCACAGCAGTAATTTATCATCTTAAATGGGATATTTTATGGTGGGCTATACATTTTTCTTTATTACAATTAATTGCTGTTAACCACTGAGTCATTATTCTTTCTTTTTATAAAGATATAAACATGTCTGATGTCATGAGAGACCTTATTGCTGCCTTGTTAAGCTAAAAAGATTTGTTTTCCTCTAAACTTAAAGGAATCATCAGGACTGCCTTAGCGAGCATGGACCGAGAAGCCAGAGAACACTACACTGTTGTGATCCAAGCCAAAGACATGGCGGGCCAGGTTGGGGGCCTCTCTGGCTCCACCACCATCAACATCACTCTGACAGACATCAACGACAACCCACCCAAGTTTCCCCAAAGTATGTATAATACTAGCAGAAGATGACAGTCCCAACAAACAATACTCTCATATTCTCAGTGAAAATCGGGCCATAAATGAAAACTGCAAATGCAGTAGCTTCTGTTAAATCAAATGGCCAAGTTGTGGCTGGAAATATAATCAGCTGTTCTCAGCCATTTTTGGCTTCAGCAGACGACCTCTACTGCACTTGCTTGGGGCAGTTAGTGTACATTACCTGCATAGCATTTATAAGAAGAGCTCGGGACTGTATTTTAATAGTGAAAAGACAGCAAGTAATTATAAGAAAAGTGCTGTTTAAAATCATTCACACTGTGGAGCTCAAGTCCTTATACTGTATATTTAGGCAGATTATTCCTAACAGTGTACTCAGTTTTTTTCTGCTTGAATGAAAAGAGAAAACATCAATATATCAGCATTTGCAGAGACAAAATTATTTTAATTATCATTATTTCATGCATGCATTCATTAACCACACTTCCAGGCTTCCCCTCATGGACCTATCCAGCATTCCTCACTATGATTTATTATACTTCATTACTGTGCTACTCAGTAGTCAAATATTGAGGTTAACATTTTCATAATTAGTAAAATTAGATGAGCATTCATCAAAACCCTCTGCTTTGCAGTCTGAATTTTCTCAATTTTAATGATAAAGTTAAGTAATGATGAAGATATAATTCTCTGTCTTTCATAGTGCCTCATCAAGCACAACCCCTTTCAATATTTTCTGAATAATTATCTGCCTGCAAGTTTGATCTGTGTCACTGCAAAGCTATCAACATCGGTTTAGCATTTAATGTCAACTGAAGCACTCCAGAGCATTTTTAATGACATTTTAAGAGGAACAAATAGTGACAGAAGGAAATTGCTTATATATAGGAGAATATTCAGATGATGATGTGGGGCAGACCGATCTGTGCTCAGGATAGTTTTTAGCTGTTTCTAAAACGGTATACATCACTGTTTATCCACAGAGAATTACCAGCTCTATGTTCCTGAGTCAGCTCAAGTAGGGAAACCGGTAGGAAAGATCAAAGCCGGTGATGAGGACATTGGCATCAATGCAGACATCAAGTACAGCATCATTAACTCAGAGGGGACCAACACATTCAACATATCCACGGACAGGGACACGCGAGAGGGAGTCATCAGCCTCAAAAAGGTAATCGCACTCTCTCTTCTATATGGAAATTGGGTCTTTCAGATAAAAGGCATATGTATCAGTCTGTGTCTGTTTGAATACAAACTTAAAAGTGGGCATTTGGCCCATAATAGAGCAGTGTTTTGATTATGAGGTACTCCTGTTATTTGTTACTGTTATTGAAAGTAATGCACTTAAATGGCTTCAATAAAAGAGGAGATGAGTGCCAGCTTATACAAAATAAAGGTTGTGTTAAAGTAAATGAGAAATACATTCAAAATGTAGGTCTAAGCTGGGGTTCGGCAACCCACGGCTCTTCCACCTCCTTGTTGTGGCTCCCTTCGATTCTGCATGGACAGATTCCTTTGCCTTCACTGCCAACGACACTGGCTTACCTGTGTACTTGATATGTGGTGAGAAATTAGCAAACAAGAAAAAAATGTAACATTGAAAGATATTTTCAAAACAAGCACTCAGCATTTTCTGAAAAGTACCCAACTGAAGATGGGCGAAATAGAGCAATTTCGGAACTGCTATGGAAAGTTGAGCACAGCAAACATACTTTAACATCGAGTTTTAAAAAAGTTTTTATAATTTGTGAATTAAAATATATGTCACATCCACATCTATAGCCCTCGCCTTTACCTAAGCTAACCATGAATACATCCCAGAAAATACAAATCTCAGAAGAAAAGAGAGAGTTTAATTCTGCATGGACAGATTCCTTTGCCTTCACTGCCAACGACACTGGCTTACCTGTGTACTTGATATGTGGTGAGAAATTAGCAAACAAGAAAAAAATGTAACATTGAAAGATATTTTCAAAACAAGCACTCAGCATTTTCTGAAAAGTACCCAACTGAAGATGGGCGAAATAGAGCGATTTCGGAACTGCTATGGAAAGTTGAGCACAGCAAACATACGTTCAAGAAATGGATCAACTCTGTTTTTTAGGACATTGTCATTGTCTTAGACTCTAAGACAGTGACAGTGTCCTAATAGTAGGGGTAAATTTAAGATCATTTGTTTTACAATAAAGCGCCACGGTATTCTGTTAACAGACTGATTTTAGTTTTATTAATTTAATAGCACTTCAGAAAAATGACGAAAGTCTTGTCCAGATAGAAAAAATACTGCAAAAAAGATTAATGAATAAAGTTGCACAAACTTTAACATTTGCTTAGTCTTTGTCTAGCTGCCAGTCCTTTTTATGCAACTTGTCCCCATGTTGATTTTTCCTCAACAGCTTCTGAACTATGAGAGAAAAAAGACGTACACTCTCCACATTGAAGGGGTCAATACACACGTGGATCCTCGTTTTTCTTATCTTGGTTCTTTCAAAGACACTGCCACCCTTAAAATCACAGTTGGGGATGTGGATGAAGCCCCTGTCTTTTCTATGGATTATTATATCATGGATGTATATGAAAATGCACCCAGTGGCACAGAGGTGGGCGCTGTAACAGCTCGAGATCCAGACAGCAGGAACAGTCCTGTCAGGTAAGACCCTCTTGACTCCTGGATATGTACATATATAGTCTGCGAAATTATTCTAAATATTCAGAGGTAGAGCTCCTTTAGTCTTTGGTCTTATTGGCTGTGCATGATTAGATGTAACTGAAGGAACTAGTTTATTTATTTATCTAGTGTGTGTTCTTTAAAGAACTATTTGCGTAGCACCATATGTCAAACATCCAAAATAATTCTGAAGGTGAATGTATTTTTAACAACTAAGACACAACCACAAATCTTTTATCTGTGTTTCATAACCATTTAACTGTAGCTGTTAAATTGAACCCTTAACTGTAGTCTTAGTCTGTAGGCTGCAGCACCACAAAGTAGGAAATAGGAACAATAACTGCAATTTAATGGCTCTCCCCTTTGCTAAAGATACGCATCTAGTCTGTTTTTGATGCATGATGCTTCTGGGATGCTTCTGACAAAGTCTGACACACCAGTCGGGTAGTGCTTTCCTCCCTGTTGCCAGAGTGATGAGGGTAGGGGGGAGTTGGTTATAACCTACCAACAGGCCACATCACACTATCAACCAGCACCATATGTCAAACATCCAAAATAATTCTGAAGGTGAATGTATTTTTAACAACTAAGACACAACCACAAATCTTTGATCTATGTTTCATAACCATTTAACTGTAGCTGTTAAATTGAACCCTTAACTGTAGTCTTAGTCTGTAGGCTGCAGCACCACAAAGTAGGAAATAGGAACAATAACTGCAATTTAAAAAGACATCCCTGGTAGGCTAGTGGTTAAGG